AGGAATACAACATCTGGGTGTTCAAATTCGAGACACACTGTGGGCCTTGTTCCAAGAAAGAACTTCAGGTGACCTTCACAAATATATTCAACAGAGCAAAATGAAAAATAAGGGAAGCTGGGTGGGGCTGGGGTTGTGGCTCAGCGGTAGAGCACTCACCTAGCACGTGCAAGGTGCTAGGTTCGATCCTCAGCACCACATAAAAATAAATAAATAAAATAAAGGTATTGTGTCCAACTACAACTAAAATAAAATATTTAAAAAAAATCAGGGAAGCTGGGTGAAAAGTACACAGGAACTCTCTGTTCTCTGTACGCAACTTTTTTGTGAAGTCAAAAATCAGTTCAAATTCAAAATTCAAAAAACACGACCTAGAATATAAGGATGCAAGAGAAATATTTTCACTGCGTTAAGAAGAATCAAACTGCAGAGAAAGAGAGAGATGAGACTAATGAGAATTGGTGCATATAGCAGGGCAAGTTCTAGGGTTTACAATTACTATAGTTGAGTTGTGCCAAGATAAAAACATGATTATTATAAGAACCGCATTACATCGAAGAAGAAGAAGAAAAAGGAGGAGGAGGAGGAGGAGGAGGAGGAGAAGAAGAAGAAGAAAAAGAACAAAAGTCTTCTTGCACTTAGAACTAAGAGAAGTTTTTCTGTGGTTTTCCCAGCATGAAACTAAAGTGATACAAGGTTTAACAACACCCAACAGCACACTAACTCTAAATAAAACAATGTCTTCTAGAAGCATCTCAGATGTAAGACCCTGCACTATATAAGCAGGGGAGACAAAACCCTTAGATTTTTTGTAGTTATTTGAGACATTTTAAAAACGCTTTGGACAATTTTCTCTTTAAAAGAAGAAAAAATCCTAGTTGTGGAGAAGATTGTAGTAAAGAATGTTTACAGAAATATTAAACACTCTGCTTCATGAAGAAGCCTTTAAAAAATTAAATACTAGCATAGATAGGTTGAGGTGATAGGTCAAGATTTCACAGCTATTAGCTAGGGGTGAAAAGAGATTCAAGGTGGGTAAATTTATTTTTTTGTAGTTTTTGTTTAAATATTCTATTTATTTATTTTTAATTTTATCTTATGGTTATACATAGCAATTGGGTTGAGGCAGGTAAGTTTTTAAAAGAACTGGAGAAGGATGGTACACACTTCTCAACATGGCACATGACACACCCAGGCTGGCAAGCATTGCCGGCACTGTTTATTGGTTGGCTTCTGTATCTCAGTCTGTTAAAGAAGAAGGGAGGCCCAACTTTCCCAAGCAAATTCAGAAAGTAGCAGGAGTTACTGTGGAACCTTGTCTATTTGCCTCCTCCTCCTATCTTTCTCTTCCCCCAGTTTAAAAGGATACTGCATCCAGGTTGAAAGCAGGATATGAATAGCACTGTCTAGGGTCCAGCCGTGTCTAGGGAAAGGGTGCTTAGAATACACCCCTGGAGCCCAGAACAGAGGCAAACCCCTGGAAGAGCAGAATCCAGTGGACTCCAACTGGGAAAAAGATTTCATGGACCCAACTCGATTCTCAGGACCTCCGCTGGTGAGCTAGGCCAGGGAGAGGGCTTTATCCAACGTACTCCTGCCTTTTCCCAACAAGAGAATCTAATCTTCGTTTGGCATTATTTACTTCCCCTTGAATGTGAAGGAGGTCCATTTTAAAGCAGAATTGACTTTACTGAGGCTGCTAGAAGGCAATGCTAGAGCATATGGGGATTGGGTGTGGTGGGAAATCATATAAGGATCCAAGTTTCCTGTTGAAAAATCCTACAACTGCTAGGATTATCCAATTGCCCTGGGCACAGATTTCCTAGCCCAATTACCTCCCTCTGTCCTCATTCCCTTTTTCTTTTTCTTTTTTTTTTAAGAGAGAGAGAGAGAGAGAGAGAATTTTTTAATATTTATTTTTTAGTTTTCGGTGGACACAACATCTTTATTTTATTTTTATGTGATGCTAAGGATCGAACCCAGCTCCCCGTGCATGCCAGGCGAGCACGCTACCACTTGAGCCACATCCCCAGCCAGCAGTATCCATTCTTACTGAAATTTCTTCTGTAGTCTGCCCCTTCCCATGCTTAGGTCTCTTCTTCCCACTCCCCATCCCAAGCATGGTAAAAGCCTTGCCACCCTGGATTGGTCCTCACTCCACCTCCAGAAACTTGTCCTGGTTTCTTTTGAGAGTGGCTGATATATTTATGCATGGGGAAAATAGGAAGTGAACCCCAAATTCTCAGCATGGATCTTGGCAAGTGAGGAGGGGTTGGAAATCCTACCTGCTGCTGATCATAGATTATGATGCCTTCTCCCCTCATAACATAGATTCAGATTGAAAAAAAAAAAAAAGTAAGGTTCCCTCAGACCACTCATTTATTTACTGCCAAAGTCAACACCAGAATCTAGCTCAAATAAATTTTACCCAATTAATGTTGCTGCTCCCATTATGCCCAATGGAGACAGAAAAAACCCAAGATGCCCTTTCCAGAAATGCCCTTAGTAACAGGAGTATGAGAGAGACATTAGGAAAGTTTTCCACTGAAATTTTTTACAGTGAAACTAACAAAGTCCAGGTAGCTTGAAAAAAAAAATTGCCTTGACCATATAGAATAATGTTAAATCAAGATATGTCATACTGGGCAAAACATCTTGTAAATATTATTCAAAAGCTGAAAATATCAATTATACATACTTTATAGCAACAATTTTAAAAAGAGGTCGAGTTTCTCTACTAGTTTTGACTCCCCAGAATTAGTCATTGTTTTAATAATTATGGTCAACTGAAAATATTCTTTCTATATCTACCAGGTTGGTGAAGGTTTTTTAGGAAAAAATGTTTTTCTATTTTAAAACTGAATCAAAACACATATGCATAGATATCAGTTTCTAGAAGATCTATTTTAAGCAGTGCATGAAATGGCACTTAAAATAAGCCATTTCAGAGTTGTCTCCCTTGCCTGACAAAGTATTGATGCCAATCTAGTGATTTGATTATTCGGTCCAAGTAAACAAATGTTTGGAACCTGTTTGTTTCTGTGTAGGAAACAAAGATGCTGTGCTCACAGAACTTACCGTGGAGAGGAGAAGGGTGGATGAGATAGAGACAGGACAGATGTCTCAGAGATGGAATAAAGTAAGGAGAATGAACCAGGAGAGTGCAAAGGTCTATGGGGACTCAAAAGAAGAAGGATTGGGCATGAAGTGGTGCATGCCTGTTATTTCTAGCAGCTCTGGAGGCTGAGGCAGGAAAATTGCAAGTTCAAAACCAGCCTCAGCAATTTAGAAACTTAGTAAGACTGTCTCTAAATAAAAAGGGCTGGGGATGTGATTCAGTGTTTAAGGACCCCTGGGTTTAACCCCTGGTACCAAAAAAAAAAAAAAAAAAGGAAAGAAAAAGAAAAAAGAAAGAAAGAAAAAGAAAAAAGAGGAGAAAGAGGAAACAAATACTATTGAAAACAATTTTTTTTTTAAACTTCAATAAATCAAGGATTTAGCAAAGGCAACTAAAGAGGTAGACTCTTGGGGTTTGCCTTAAAGTCTGGGAGGGATTGAAAAGAAACCAATCCTAAACTTAGCTATAATACAAGCACTCAAAAACATCAAGTATTGACAATAATGATTTTAAGAAGATTGTTTAAATGTTTTAATTTCACTCCTTCTAAAAACATCTCTTGTTGTGGTAAACTTTAAGTGACTCCAAGTCCCTAGGTCCTAGCCACTTGTGGCAGCACCACTCCCCACCCTTTTTGTACCAGGGATTGAACCCAGGGGTGCTTAACCACTGAGCCACATCTCCTCCCTTTTTTAAAAAAATATTTTATCTAGAGACAGGGTCTCACTGAGTTGCTCAGTGCCTCACTATGTTGCTGAGGCTGGCTCTGAACTCAAAATCCTCCTACCTCAGCCTTCTGAGCAGCTGGGATTACAGGTATGCACCACCACATCCAGTTTGTGGCAGCCTTCTAACATAAAAACAAAAGGTTTGGCATTCTACCAGCCTGGGGACTTTGTGTTATTCTGTCAAGAACACTTCCTTCTCCTCTCCAATAACTCACATAGGATCATTGTTTGTACTTAACTCACTCAATCAACAAACACTCAGAGAGCATCTGCTGTATTCCAGGCCTCACCAGGTATGAATAATATAAGGGTGAATATAAATCATCAGGGAAATGCAAATCAAAATCACAATAAGATGTCACCTCACATCTGTCATGGTGAGTTACTTTTTAAAGATGTATTATTTTTTAAAAAGACAAGTGGTGACGAAGATATAGAGAAACTGGAACCACTGTATACTATTTCTGGGAATGTATAATGGTATAGCTGCTATAGAAAACAGTCTGGATAGTTCGTCAAAACTTTAAAAGTAGAATTACCATAGGATCCAGGCAATCCCACTACTTTAAAAGTAGAATTACCATATGATCCAGGCAATCCCACTTCTTTTTTTTTTTTTTTTTAAATGTTTATTTAGTTAATGACCTAAGTTAATACTCATCCCACCATGCCTGTAGAAGCCAGGTTTGAAGTCACAGGACCTTCCCAAATGGAGGAGAACACACCTCATCCAAAAACCCCAAACTCCTCAGACCCAGCCATCTGTTATCACAGGGAATTAGTAACCAGTGTTCCCAAATGTTCTGATATATCCAGAGAAGCTGAAAACATGCATTTACACACAAAATTACCTCTTTTATATAACAAAAATGGGCATAGAACAATTAAACAGGGCCATAGGTAGTATCTTTCTGGCAGGCTACCAAAATTAGCAATCTTTGATCTCAGAATCCCACTTCTGTGTATGTACCCAAACAATTGAAATCAGGATCTTAAAGACATATCTGCATACTCAAGAATTCATTGTAGCATTATTCATAATAACCAAGTTATAGAAACAACCTAAATTTCCATCAGTGGATGAATGGATAAAGAAAACATGGTATATACATGCAATGGAATATTGCTCAGTATTTAAAAAAAGGAAATCTTACCATTTGCGGCAGTAGCGATGGACCTGAAAGACATTATGCAAAGGGAAATAAGCCAGTGACAGAAGGACAAACATCCATGATTTCGTTTACACGAAGCCTCTGAAATAGTCAAGCTCAGGAACAGAAAGGAAAATGTTCATTGCCCAGGGCTTGGGGGAGGGGAAATGGGGAAACTACTGCTTACTGGGTAAGAAGTTTCAGTTGTGCAACATGAATAAGCTCTAAAGATTAGGTGTATAACATAGTGCTGGATAGTTAACAAAACTGCATCATGTACATAAAAATTTGTCAAAAGAATGGATCTCATGTTAAGTGCTCTTACCTCAATTAAAAAAAATTAAACAACAAAAAAGGCGAGTACCTTTTCAAAAAATCAGGTACAGACAAAGGAGTCAAATGATATGAAAATGAAAAAGTAGCTGGAGTGATAGGATCAAAGAATGAGACCACCTGGGCAGAACAGTCTTTAGAGATAGTGTTGAAAGCAAATTATGTCACCCAGATGAGACCCTTAGGCACATTGTTTTCTAAGTGCTCCAAATCAGAATGGTGTGTATATTATAATTTTTGCCAGTTTGATATGCAAAAAAATAGTATATTGTTTTCTCCCTGGGGCTGGAAGAACATCACAGGCTCCTTGCCAAAGTTCCTACTCCTCCAACTCCTGGCTGGTTGCTGCATGGGAAGTGCCACATTACATTTGGCTGCTCTGGAGCAAGCTCCAGGATATTTTTTACAGGCAACATCAAAAAAACAAGTTAAATATTAGGTCCCTGAGGGCTTCCTATTCTATTTTTAGTCTGAAGAAAGGAGCTATCTTTTGGTAGGGAAGAGATCAGTGGTGCAAAGAATCTCATCCTTTTAGGTCAGATGTGTTCCTGTCAAACCAGGCGTCCTCAGTCTCCTGGGGTCACAGTAGTATCATTCCCTATGTGCACTACAACAGCATTTGTGTGGCAGCAGAAGCACATACCCACTCAAAGGAACACGTCCCCTCAGACGCAGCTACATGACAGGAAGTATGATGGGCACAGGCTCAACTCTGTGAATGAGCCATGAACTTCCCTGTGACTACTGTGCCCACAACTGGAGAAAAACCTGGCAATACACCTTTGATTTGTTAGCTCTGACCCCCTGCCTCCTCTAGCACCAGAGTGAGCCACTTTCCTTACCTGCTCACTTAAAAACATGGCTTGGTGACATGCAGCCCCTTTGGGATACATAATCAGACAAAGACGATCTGTAGCTAAATACAATTGACCAAAGACCTTATCTGTTTTGCTGTTTTTTAAAAGGTTGTGAGGTACAATTAACATCTCATAAAATTCACCCATGTTAAAACATAAAATTTAATGATTTTTAATAAATTTGTAGTTGTGTAAAATTTTCCAACTTCCCATAGCCCCCAAAGATCCCTTGTACCCATTTATAGTCAACTCCTGTTGCTATCCCAAGCCCCAAAACAATCACTACTCTGCTTTCTGTCTATTACAGATTTGCCTTTCTTGGACATTTCACATAACTAGAATCATACAATATGTAGTTTTGTGTGCGTCTGGCTTCTTTTAATTAGCATAATGCTATTGAGGCTCTTCAACATTGCAGCATGAATCAGTACTTCTTTGTATTACTGCAGAAAATCTCATTGGATGGTGTGCTAGTTAACTTGGCGTTGCTGTGACCAAAATAAAAGAAGAATAACAGAAGAGGGAGCATTTATTTGTGTCTCAAGTTTTCAGAGGTCTCAATCCAGTAACAGTGGAATCCATTGCTTTGGGCACAAGGTAAGGCAGGACATCACTCTGGGTGGGGCAGAGGAAAGCAGCTCACCTCATGGTGTCTAGGAAGCAAATTGGAGGGAGGAGGGAAGGGTCCTATAGGGAAGATGAACCCTTCTAGGACATGCCCCCAGTGGCCCACCTCCTGCAGCCACACCCCACCTACCTACAGTTACCACCCAGTCAGTCCATTCAAACTAGTTAGGTTATAGCTCTCACAGTCCAATCATTTCACCTCTGAACATTCCTGTAATAACACAGGAGTTTTGGGGGTACACCTCATATACAAACCATAACACATATTTTTTCCCACCAGTTGATGTACATGTGACCTATTTTCATTTGGGGGTTATTATGAATAAACCAGCCATGAACATAATTATACATGTCTTTATAGAAACATGTTTTCATTTATTTGGGGTAGATTAGATATCTAGGAGTAGAATTGCTGTGTCACATGGCAAGTTTAACTTATTAGGAACTGCCAAATGTTTTCCAAAATGGATGTGCCATTTCACATTTCCACCAGCCATTTATGAGGGGTCCAGTTCCTCTATATCCTCAATTAACATTTGTTATTGTTTTATTCTTTCAACTATATACTTTTTAGTGGGCTTTTTTTTTTTTTTAATAAGGCTCAAGGTCTTCCTACCCCTCAAGTTCCAGAATCCAGTATGGCTGATATTTGCTTCATAACTACGTCAGATATTTAAAGCTGTGATCATTTGGGAAGAACATACTTGTGAAGATGGTCTATCACATGCTTGCTGCTCTGAGTAGGAAAAGACAGAGCAAGCCAGACACCTACCTCTATTGTCTAAGGCAGGAAAAACAGTTTTTCTAAGAACTACAAGTTTCTTGTAAATTAGAAATCATTTAAATTCAGTCATACAATGAATATTTATGAACACCTGTCTTGAGGAAACAAAGGTATTTTTTCATATACTATAGAAGTAAGATTTAATTTCACCAATATGTTTTGACTATGTTGTGAACAAAGCATCAGGTTGGAAGATGGAGTAAAACAAAATCTCTGATGAAAGAGGTTTAAAATCTGCTCACTGCCATGTGTGGAGGTGGGGAAAGAAGGTAGGGTGGGGAGGGGAGGTACTAATACCTCTTTGCTGAGTCACAGCACCTTGGCATGTGTCTTAGAAGTGAATGTGTGGTGCAAAGGGACAGGAAGTTCAGCAAATTCTTGGGAAAAAAAATTAATTTGGGGTTAATGATTATAACCTCAATGTCAGTCTTACCTACTGCTAATTCTAAGAGTCTTGAACTGCACTGGTATTAGTAACCCTTTAAGAAACTTCAGAATTGAACCATTCATGATTCTTGGCTCATGACCTTAAAGCTATTTCAGGGTTTGTCAACATCTTATGCAGTTAGTCAGGGAAGGCTAAAAGGAAGTGAACCTGGAAAATGAGAGAATTTTGTGAATACATAATACAGGTTTTCCTTGTATAGGATAAGAAAGGTTCCATTGGCTCCTCTGTTTCAGGCATAATAGCCTTTTTCCACTGACCCTGAACTTCGAATCTGTGGTGGATGGAGCCCTTCGAAGTCTGTTCAAGTAGCAAGAGGCAGCTGTGTTCCTCTGTCCCCAACTTTATGTTTAGTGTGATTCACAACTGGCAAACACTAGGCATCAGGCCTTGCCCTCACCCACCCAGAAGGTCTACTAGCACAGCACAGCTGTGCCCACTCTCCAGCAAGGCATTCTGGGTGATTTCTTTTGAGCTTAAGGAAGGGTTCTGAGAGTTACCTCAGAAGGCCGTTGCAACCAGCACCACAAAGGACCAAATGGATTAACAAGGAGGAAAAAAGAATAGGTATAGTAAGACCTTTTCTTGCTAGAAAAATGTTAGCAATAGAGTGCCCCGGATTTGACACAGCAGCTAACATTTACTGTGGAAGGCAGCCATGGGAGTTAAACTCACAATCCTGTAAAATGGATAAAACAGTTTCACAAATAACTATGATGTGAGACTAAAAGTGGTCAGAAGCCCAAAATACAAACCAAGAGATTTTTCAGAAGAAGGTGAGGCTGAGCACACAGCAGGCATGGGCTGTGGGGTGCAGAGAACGGCCCACCGCATGCAGTTTTGAGGCCCTGGTGTGCCAAAACAAGGATATAAAAAGCATGGTGTGTTTAAAATGTTTCTACTAAATATATTACTACTTTTGACATGCATGCACACAAAGTTTAATGCTATACAATCATACTGTCCATAAAAGCATTACAGAAATCACTGAAATATTAGTTCACCATGCACTGCAAGGAATGTGGTTTAAATTAAAATCTTTGACAATTGCTAGTGAATTTCAGTGACTGTTCATTAAATCTCTCTGGGAAGTAAGTACAAATCTAATGATCATTATGAGAGGAAAGCCTTGGCCCTCAGAGCTGGGATTAAGTAATGTCTTCATGATTTTTCTGTTTTGGTTCAGATATGAGATGTCCCTCAGAAGCTCATGATTAGATTTTGAGAGCTGTGTCCTAATCAGTGGATTAATCCACTTGATAGATTAATAATTTGAAGAGACTACTGTACTGGGCAGGTAGGCTGGCTGGAGGAAGTAGGTCTCTGGGGGCGTGCCCTTGGGATTATATCTTGTCCCCTTCTCTTCCTCCGCATCTCGCCTTCCACCTCAACTCTCTCATTCTAGGATGCTTCTACCTGAGGAGCTTTCCTCAGCTGTGCCCTTCTGCCATGATGTTCGGCCTCATCTTGAGTCTAGAGCAATGGAGTCAGCCACCCATAGACTGAACCTCTGAAACCACGAGCCAAACTAAACTTTTCATCCTGATTTGTCCTTATCTGATTTGTCAGATATTTTGGTCATAGCAACAAAAACCTAATAAACATAACTTCCAAGCAGTACCTTGTCTGTCAGATACAGAAAGAAGCACTTATTCAGCAAAACTGGGAAGTTTTAGCTTTGCATAGGTGAGTGACTCTCATCATCGAAGATTATCTCCTTCAATGCCACGGACCATTTTACCTATATTCAGTGGGAAAGTTTCCAGTCTTCTATTATAAGTTTTGTTAATAACAATAACAGCTCCTGAGTTGTCCTGTTGACAACTCAGGAGCTGTTATTGTTATTATCTGTTCTCATTGTGTGACAGGGTAATTGACAGTAGCATTTTGCCCTTTTCAGGTTCTCCTGCTGCCCTCTCAGCCCTGGAGGTACTTCCTGCTGTGGTCAGCACATCTGGCCCTACCACATATGTCTTTTTTTTTTTTTTTTTCTGGTTGCTATTACTTTGCACACTGGTGTGCTGCTTTGGGGGAATCAGATAAGCATCTTGTTTACATGGGTTATGAAG